GCCTGAGGGGGGGGGGGATCCTTTGGTGGCTGAGCTTATTTGTCAAGGGTAAGGGAGGTGGTCTGATGAGAAACTCCGTCAGTGGTTTGACCCGCTCACCTGTAGGGCTATCACAGCCATTCCTCTTCCTAGAAGGGATATGGTGGATAAGCTTATCTGACATTTTACAGCTGACGGGGTTTTCTCGGTAAAGTCGGCTTATCATTTGGCTGTCGATCTGGATAGGAGGAGGGGCGGGTGGCGGTCATCCGTAAGCTGGATGGATAAACCCAGTTGGATAAGGGTGTGGGAAGCTAAGATCCCTCCGAAGTTGAAGGTCTTTGTATGGCAAATCCTTAATCAGGCTCTCCCAACTATGGAGGCGCTTATTGAGAAAAAGGTTCAGGTTCTCCCTAGGTGCCCAGTTTGCTGGGATGGCCCGGAGACGATGGAACACCTCTTCCTTTCCTTTCCGGTTTCGCGGGCCTTCTGGGACTATTCAGGGCTGGAATATTTGGGGGAGGGATTGCCCCGGCACACTTTTTCTTTGTTTCTAAACCATTTGTTGGCACTAATTCATCAACCGTCGGTGGTTATGGCTGTTGTTGCAATCCTTTGGAGGATCTGGCGATCTCGGAATTGGGTTGTCATTGAGGGCAAACAATTTGGGTTCCCGGCTCTCATGCGACAGTTTCGCCAACAGTATGAGGAATGGGTGGGTCTCCCTGTGGATCGAACTCCGCCGATAATTACCCCAGTGTTGCAACCTACAATGCAGGTGGGTGGTTCCCATTTGGTTTGCATGTGGGACGGGGCTACTAGGTGTGGATCGCGTTCGGCTGATGGGATGGTTCTCTTTGATCCAGAAAGGAGGATTCTGCTGGCTAGAGGGGTCCAGTTTTCTCAATTGGATAACCCAGGGATGGTGGAATTGCTTGTGCTTAGGGAAGCTATTATTTGGTGTTTGGAGCAAGGCTTGTCGGAGGTCCGCTTTGAGGGCGATGTGAAGGTGGTTATTGACAAAATTAATCAAGCTGATACGAGAGATAGCAGGTTGGGTGCTGTTCTGGAAGAGATTGTTCATTATTTTCGTACTCAATCTGGTTTTAGTGTGCGCTTTGTAGGTCGGGAGAACAATAGGGTAGCTCATTAGGTAGCTAGGAAAGCCCTTTCTTTGTTTCCGACTATGAGTCGCTTTTTTGATTTCCAGTCCTGGCTGGTTTCCAGGGTGTAACTATCATTTTTTGATCAATACATGATATCTTTTGACAAAAAAAAAATTTAAGGATATTTATCTTTAATGTTGAATAACTTGCATGGATAATTTGTGGTTTGCTTGTATGCTCTATATTGTTGTTTTTTGTACGAATAATTTGTATGGAAAGATTGATGTTAGACTTTTATTTTGACAGAAAGTTATTGTGCATTTGTAGAACCGATGGGTATCTATGAACCCGCAAATATCCAGAGGGTTCGGTTGGATTTGAGTTTTCCAAACTCATTGGATTTTACCCCAAATTTTTTAGTGGATATACCCACTTAGCTCTTTGACATCTCGTTAACCCGCAAACATCAAAACTACACAAGTCTAACTCTAACTCCTCACTTAGCTCTTTGACATCTTGTTAATGCTGGTGCGGCTGCACGCATCTCCTTGCCTCTTCTCGAAATTCGCCTCTGCTAACTCTTCCTCGACCTGGTGAGTGAGAAGGGGTCAGTCTCGTCGTTACTTTCTAAGGTTTTTGCCCTTGGCAACTTTCTACTAACATGTTATTAGAGTTTCCTTCCTAGCACGGAAGCCATTCTCGCTTCCTGCTCTTAAATAATCATCTTTTTCAACTAGCTTATAGAAGCTCTATACTTCTATCCTGAACTCATAGACATCAATACCAGGGACCACCGCATTACGTAGTGTCGTCCGGTGTCCCTACCCTAGTATGCCAACCGCGTTACGTCTCGCTGTCCAGTTGCATACACAAGCTCGGCAATGGCATTGCGTTACGTCTCGCCGTCCAGTAGTGACCCCAACATACTCGATTAATAGCTGCGTTACGTCTCGTCGTCCAGCAGTGACCCGATCATCTACCGCGTCCAGTAGTGGCCCAACTGTCAGGGGGTTCATCTTACCATTAACCATACATAATACAACCATACATTCATACATAGCACAACGTGTGCCTCCACCCTTAAGTAGGCGGTGGGATACCTCGCACACATATCACGCATTACTAAAAAATTAACTAATTAATAACTTGAACGAAAATCATAAACTAAAAGACATACGTCAGAGGTTTTACCCCCTTTACACTCACCTCGAAACGATGACTCCTCGATTCCTTCCTCGAATAAATTCCTCCTTAGCCGAAGTATCTCGGAACATATTAATAAGAAATTCATTTTCTTATACGACCTTTCTCAATCTAAACCCCCATTTTATAAACCAAACACCCTCTCCTCAAAGTCGCAACCTCAAACCTCACTCCAAATATCCCTTAACCTCCTTTAGAACAATTTTCTAAAAGCAATCTCCTCAAAACCGACCATTTTTTTTCTAATTAACTTCGTCTTGAACGAAATTTTCACCTAACTTGAAACTTCTTAAAAATTCGGATAATAATTTTTCCATGTCAATCAGAAGAACCAAGATCATGGAAAATTATCAAAATCTTAAAAACACCTGGACATGATTTTTAATTAATTAAAACAAACATTCGGCCAATTTCTAAAATTAGTTACATTTTCAAAAATCCCCAAATTAAATCACAACCATCTCCTATATGTCTTTCAGTTTATAAAATTGTTAGATCTAGAAACTAACATCCACGGAGGCTCGAAACAATTTAAAACATCAAAAATTACATTTATGCAAATTCCCATCAGCTTTAGTGACGAACCAAAATCCATCACTAAAAGCCTGTAAAGTCTGTTGCTAAAAACCCAGAATTGCATCCTCATGAAAAATCACCAAATCGATCGATCTAACTCAAAGGGGTCGAGGTCTCTTACCTATAGAACGTGCCTAGGACTAGATCGGATGGCTCGTGAAGTTGATCTTCTCGTTGATCGATGTTCGAACTCTCAAACGTCACCATAAACGCTATAATACAAAAATACGAGTTTCGGATTAGATTACTGATGCATCGAGTTGAGAATCGTGAAAGGATTTGTGATCCTTACCTAGAAATACGAGAGGGATGAGCAGCTGGCCGGAGAATCGGAAACAAGGTCAGGAGGCGGCGGTTGGGGGTATGGAACCAGGGATGGGTTCTTCTTCTCGCAAACAAAGCACTAGGGCGGCGGGGAGTTTGCAAATTGGAAAGGGTTTGGAAATTGCTGCTGGGGAAAATAATGGGGGTGGAGGTTTAATTGGGGCCGTGCGGCCCCTTTGTCTCTTTTTTTTAATAGTAGTAAAATAATAATAATAGTTATTATTATTATTCCTAATCCGTTGTTGTAACTCTTAGTACGTAACCGTCAATCCAACCGATCATTTATCATGGTTGAACCAGAACCCAAAATTCGGGGTGTTACAAAAAAACATGTTAGAAATTAAATCTCTAAAGATACAGGTTGAGGATTCGGCACACTTTGCCTTTCCATTTAAAGCTATAAAGTCCATTAGTCCACCAAAAAACTTACGCAACGTCAACAAAGCAATAGTTTCCATCGACAACTGGGAAACACGAAACTCCAATTTGACCCGTGAACCAAGGTATAACAAAGCAGATAACTGATTAAATCAAATAAAATGTGAGAAATTATCTGTACACCGCGCCACCATTGAATTCTATTGGCGAACCACCCAGCCGCCAGCATGCACCAATGGAAGATCCACGCATGTCTTGCACGTGGCAGTTGAAAAGCAAGGAGGACCAAAATCCCCAGCGAACCTGTAGAGCATTCGGCGCAGGGACGGTCCGAGGCAAATCCTGCAGCCGTCGCATCGCTGCACCGGGAGACTCTTCTTGTCCGACCGTCTCCACACCCTACTAGTGTTGAGGCCTACAAAACAAAACAAAAAGATATTGCCCCACCATAGTACTCCAAAGCAGGCAGACATAAAGCCTCAGTCGCATATCCGATTTCACGAAGCTGAGTGAACTCCGGATCTGGTATGGGGGCACCTGTTTGGCCAACCACCTTTGACGGCAAGAGGGAACTCCGAGGATGGATGGCGGGCTTCTGTAGCAGGCAGTTGTTGAGGAGCCAGTCTGTCGTGTTGGCGAAGCAAGCGGGCAGTCGTGAGGCGAGACATCACCTCGACAGAGGCCGATGAGGTTGACCCGGTCCGGTCCGGGCTCCCGAATCGTTTTATTGGCTCTAACATCCCCGACCTCGAAGTGGGTCTTTCCATTCTGTTCCGACAAACCCTAATTGACCACGTTCTCCCTCTGGAAGTTGAAGAACACGAACCTTTCCGTCCTACCATATGTGTGCAAAAGATATGGAACTAGCTAAGAAAGGCCATGGAATTCCTCGGTAGTATGGGATTTGTGAAGTATGTAAGAAAAGGAAAATTTAAGCACTGAAAGGTTAAGGAAGGTAGAGTTGGCGGACTGATTTGTACTTAATTACTCCCTAGTCCGGTAACAAGTAATATAGACAGCGAACAGTAGGAATGACAATGGGGCAGGTCCGGGGCGGGTATCTAGATATCCATACCCGCTCCATGGCAGGTCGGGTCCAGGTCGGGTAATTTTTCACGGGGCGCAGGCCGGGACAGGTCGACCCAAGGAGTATGTAATTGATGTGAAAAATGTTAGAAAGATTCATTGATTTCATTAAAAGACCAAGTAACAAACCATAATATGATAAAAAATGTAGTTAAATTATTAGAGAAATTGATATTTTCACTTATTTACAACTTTTTATAACTAAAATATGAGATAATAAAAAGAAAATCCTAAGTAATTTGATTAAGATTACATGTAATTTGGGCAAGAACGGGTCGATAATGGACGGGTTAGAGCAGCTCGGGTCGAAAAGAGTTACCCATGCCTGCCCCACCCCGCCCCTAAACAGGCCAAACAGATCGGATATAACGGGTCAGATCGAAATTGTCATTCCTAACGGACAGTGACCGTCTTCGAATCAGACGGTAAATAATCATTCTTGTCAATCGTCATCTTTTGACGGCTTCGATTTTCTGAACAGATTGAAAGACGGAAGTGCCCTTTCTCTTTGTTTACCGCATAAACGCCTAGCCCCCGGGGGAAAAGAGGGCGGTGAGATTTTGAGTGAAACTAGGGTTAGCTGGAGAAAGGAAGGAGAAGAAACCAGCGAGAAAAGAAGCAGCAGCAGCAGGGAAGTCGGAGCGATGAGCAGAAGCTTGGGCATCCCGGTTAAGCTACTCCACGAGGCCTCCGGCCACATCGTGACGGTGGAGCTGAAAAGCGGCGAGCTTTACAGAGGGAGCATGTTGGAGTGCGAAGACAACTGGAATTGTCAGCTCGAGAGCATTACTTACACCGCTAAGGTACCGCCACTGCTTGTTTAGCTCTCCAACTCGTTATCAATGGCCTTCTTCGCTCCGTGTTTGGTTTCCGGGAAAGGGAATGTAGTAGGTCGTCGTTTATTTTCTGTGTCGTATGAAATTTGATGGGCAAACCCTAGTTTTAGCTAACAGCTTTCTAGGTTAAATCGATCGTTGTAAATGTTTTTACTGCTAACCTGAATGAAATGCGTTAAGGGGAGTTTCTTTATCCCCCTGTACTGCGGTGTAAGCCGCTGTAGAAGGGATGATTTGGGATTTTTCGAGCTAGCAGTAGTATGTACTTCCTGTGGAGTTTCTTTCTTGCACGCAGCATAGATAGAGGAACCCGGGAGTTATGTTGCTACTGTTCTAGTATGCCCGGAGCTAGTCAACATTGTTCACTGACTGTATAGTGGTGGTTTCTTCCATATCCTCAAAGTAGGGTATTCCATCCATGCCTGCTAGCTCTTATAGTACCGGGGACTAGTGTTTACATTGCCTTAGCAGTTTGTTCAATTCAGGGACTTATGCAGTGTTTGGAATCTAATCATTTCAGTGATAATGAACCTAGAGAATCGTCCGGTAGACTGAAGCAAGAAAAACTGGTGGACTTAGATAATCGTTGTAGACTGAAGCGACAATGACGGACCTAGATAATCATCTGTAGGTTGAACCAAACTTTAGGAACCTAGATAATTGTCTCTTATTTTTTTCTTTCTTCTGTATTCTGGGCTTTCTGTTTGTTGCTAACCTTTACAAGGGCACTCTGCAGGATGGCAAGGTTTCACAGCTTGAGCATGTTTTCATCAGAGGCAGTAAAGTCAGGTAGTATTGACATTTCCTTTTTTGTTCCCGAAGGGTTGTCTTATTATGGCTTGAAAGTCTTGTTCTGTGAACAGAGTAAACTGATGTGCTATCTCTCAACAGGTTTATGGTCATACCAGATATGCTAAAGAATGCTCCTATGTTCAAGCGTCTTGATGCTAGAATCAAGGTAAGAACCCTTTGATGTGATTTCAATGTGATCTGAATCCTTCGCAACTCCTACATTATGCACAACTCTTTATATGTCTCTCGATCTTATTTGAAGGGCAAGAGCGCATCACTTGGAGTCGGGAGAGGAAGATCTGTCGCCATGCGAGCTAAAGTGAGCTCCCTTCGTCTTGGAGATCTGTTTCTTTTCTTTTATCGTTTTGAACTAATTGGCATTCAACTTTAAAACTCCTGAACTGGGATTCGGAAATTCCTGCATTAAATAGCTTCCTGATGAGACTTCATCCTGAACTTACTTACTTGTGCAGGCTCAGGCTGCTGCTGGTGGCCGTGGAGGACCTGGGAGGGGTGTTGTACCACCTGTTAGGAGATAAATCTGCCTTCCTCATGGATAATCTTCGGATCTTATTCGCTGTTTTCATGTTGGTTCACTTGCGATTCTTCCCTTAATCCACGAGACGAGAACCATGAGGGAACCCTGGATTCTTGATGCCTTAGAAACTTGATGTAAAAGCTTTTGTACGGCTCTTGATGAGGGAACTTGATATGACTTTTTTTTTTCTGATATGTGGAATGTAAGTTTTTCTCTGGTGTTCTGTATGTACCCTTTTTTATCATATTAAACCGCTGTTTGGCATTATTCTGAATTCTGATGTCTTGTGGCATGACTTTGCTGCACAAAATGGTCAACAAAACTGACCCAATCCAATTCCAACCAAAATTAAGCAAAAAAAATTCAAAATACACTAGTTATTAAAAAAAATTCCAAAATACGTAGTCATAAATTAATTTCCCGAAGTACCAAGGTTGTCAACCTGCTAGTCGACCCACATTGACCCTGCCCCAATGAGAAAAATGGGTTGCATGCACACGTCGGGTTGATCGCTACAAGGTACCGGGTTGGAGGTCAAATTGTATCATTTTTTCTTTGGTTTGCAAAATGCACCTATTTTCCGATTTTTCTTTTTTGCCTAACTCAATCTTTGGAATCCTAAGTTGAACATTTCAATATTGATGTTATATAAGTGTGTGAATTTTCACTATATGTTGGATCTAAGTACGGCACGTTATTTTGGTGGAATATTATATGTTATAACTCATGTTAGACGAGATTTGATATAATTTATCGGGATATATACAATATAATGACTCATTCCATATTTCCGGGCTAAACCGAGTGACCCATTAACCCTTGACCCACTAGCTCAACCGAGTCCGGGTCAGCCTGCGGGTTGACAACTTTGCCAAGTACACATGTTTGATATTCACCGTCTTTGTCTAAGGCAGAATATTATCAGTGCTTTACTCAAAAACGGTGAAGCCATCACCGCATTTAACTAACACGGTGAAAACTTCACCACATTACTCGAGGGGATGGGCGTCACGACCAGGAAGCTACCATGGGATCAAATGGCATGGAGCATGGTGGTGTGGATTCCCATTCAAAATCCTAAGATATCTTAACTGGCGATTTTGTGGCGAAACCTGCAACAGCTGCAACAAACACTTCAACCATGAAGTCTCTCTCACCAGCAAGGCCGTGAAGGAGGTTTTGCTATAGACGTTGTTGGGAGAATCTAAACTTGATTGTTATTAGATGATTTCCTCAGTTTAATATACATACAGAAGCAACCCCACGTTCCTTGAAGCTAGGAACAGAATGGAAAAAGTGGGGAGAAGAAATAGATGAAAAAATAAAAAAGTAAAATACATTTATTTTGTATTTCCCTTAATAGGCCGCAGGGGTGAGTTACTGTGTCGGTAAGTGAGGTATCGAGAACGAAGGGGTTGGGAAATTGGGATTGTTAAAGAGGCGTTTTGGTTCTGGTGTTCACAACATAATCTGTAAACATATGACGTACTCGTAAAGGTTGAGAGCAATCGAATCAGGTAATTTAGTAGGCCTTCGGCTATTGAATGAACTGGTTTAAGCGCGAGAGCTATGAGGTAATGGGGGAGTTTTTAGAACTTGTTGTCAAGTGACCGTTACAATTCTTCACTCTTAGTAGTGGGAACCGACTATTTAGTGTTTGATCGATTTAAATTGCTGACATGATAACCGTTTACCAACACTCGGTTAACCAGCTCTGGGATCGTTTAGCATGCTAATCCCTTTGAGGGGTTGGAAAAATGACACCACCTGGAGTATTAAATACAATTGTAGAATTTAATACACACATTAAATACACATTGAGAATTAAATGTACCATATGAATTATTTGTATTTTTTTTTTCAAATTAAAATCTACACTAAATACATTTTCTCTCCCTATATCTCATTTTCCCTTTTTCAACACCCTCCGACCACCAGGTTTCCTCCGACCGTCACACTTCTCTGGTGAAAATCCCATCGGCAGACTCTCTCTGACCACCTGCAAAAAATATACCACTGCACTGATACATTGTACCACTGCATTGGTAGCTATACAACTGCACTAGTAGCGATATCAGTGCACTGGTACCAATGTCATATCTGAGTATCAGTGTAGTGGTACAAATACCAGTACAGTGGTACAACATATCAGTGCAGTGGTATATTTTCGCAAGTGACCGGAGAGAGTCTGTCGGCGGGATTTTACCGGCGAAGTGTGGTGGTCGAAGGAAACTTGGTGGTCGGAGGCTGCTGGGAAAGGAAGAATAAGAGATAGGAGTGAGAAAGATAAAAAATGAGAGAGAGAATTGTATTTTGTATATGTTTAGATTTAAAAAAAAAACAAGTAATTAATGTGGTGTATTTAATGCTTACTTTGTTTTTAATAGCAGAACATTTATTATGTCTACCTTCATTGATACATGTCAATAATTAATGAAAAAATTGACCAATTAAGAATGGGGTGTCAAAAAACCAACCCTTTTAAGGGTAGGCATAATATCCTACCCCACCAGCTGTCACTCTTTATTTTTTTTTGTGTTGAAGGCCTCACACAGTCGCTCCATGCTCTTCTTGACCAGTTAGTCCAGTGGGTGGTAATTGGTAATACCGGTATTCGGTATTACTCGGGCGTGTAATTTTTCATTCGGTAATACTGGATATAGGCGGTAATTACCGATGATATACTGGTATACCATAGTACCGAATGTTAAAAAAAAACTACAACGCAACGCATAGGGGGAATGGATTTGGGAATTGCGAATTGAGATTTGGGGGAAGCAGAGGTCGACCAGCAAGCAACAACCCTAATCCCTAATAATTTCGATCGACCTCCCTCCCTCGTCCCTCCCCAACAACCAATTCCTTCTCCTATGATTCGTCGCCCCCAGCCCCGGCCGCCGCCCCCAGCAGCCAACCCTCTACTGCATCCCTTTCATCGTCAGCAAGTCCCGAGGAAGAAGACGACCTCTCCATCACCCTTTCAACGTCAACAAGTCCTGAGGAAGAAGACAAATCCAACATCGCTGCCCGATCAAGCTCCGAAACAAAAGCATCCCGCGGAGGCTGCAGCTTCAAACTCCCGGCAGCACCATAGCTGATGGCTGGATGAAGCCAGGAGGAGGATCTGAATTTTTTGGTCTCTTCTGGTATCCACACTGACCTGCCCTCCTCTTGTCGTAGAGCTTGTTGGTGGTCGGGCGGTACTCATCGAGGTATTTGCCAGTGTAGACCAACAATCCCCAACAATCGACTTTCATGTACATACCCGGTATTAATATCAGATACCGACTATTCGGTATTCAGTATATCGGTTAACATTCGGTATCGGTATTCGACGGGTACCCTGTCTGTTTCCGATATACCGAATACTGGGTAATCAATATCCAGTATACCGGATACTGACCGATTATTACTACTAGGCCATTAGAGCCCAATATACGTAGCCCATAAAACTTGGAAACACAAATTGAACTTGGAAATCAACCTTTTTCTTTTGATTTGAATGAAGGGGAAGAACCACAGCCACCCCACATATGCATCATTGGTACAATGACTTCTTTCTAAACAAACACAAAACATCATCGCCAAGCAAATGAAGAAACTGAACAGCAGCATTAACGAAAGAAACCGTAGAGTTCCAAGAAGCAAATGCACAGGTTCCAGGGATTCGATACATCGGTCGTCGGACCAGTTAACATCACTCTAAAGTATCTGAACGGCAGCAGTGCATTCGGCCCCGTGATCTGCCACGACGCAAACTGGCCTGGTTTGCTCATTGATTGGTCGTCGTTGTGTGTTCTTAAGTCCGTCCATGTCTTGGCATCCAACGAGCCCTGTCATCAAACATCCAATTTTAGTGTCCAGTTCAAAGGACTGGGAAATGGGAATGAATGCTTTCAAGCCAAAGTTAGATGTAGCATGGGACCAGAAACTCTTTACCTGGAATTTCCAAGACCTTATATAAGCTCTTGAGCCGTCTAGCCTCAACGTGTAGTGGTTGCACATAAGCTGCATAACAGGAATCAGAATTTTTTTATCCGTGCCTTATGGAGGAAGGCGAAGGCAAGCTATTAGTTACTGGAAACACGCCACAGAGAGGATCATACAATACCTGATGATCTTGGCCAATGTCAACCATCCACCATGAGCGTACTCGTCCATCTTCTATTCTGGGTCCAGTAAAGCACATTCCCTAGAAGAAAGACCAAAGCACATTCAGTGAACATAATGGAACTCAGACTTGAGGGGAAACTCGACCAACAGTTGAGCTTGTTCCCAACCTGATAGGTCCTTGATGCCAAAGCCTTAGGGTCTGTATATCTTGAAGCTGGGCAGCTTGCTGTTATGTCGATTCTCTGGAAATCCAAACGCCAACAGAATAACTTATAAAACTATTGAAGTTCATACTGCTTTTTTCTTTTCAGATGAGGGAAATAATACAGAGAGAGCAAACCCAACCTTTGATAGAACAGGATTAACCCACTGATGCTGCCCATAAGAAGTGCCAGCAAAGTGCAGAACTCCATTGCTGTCCCCATCACAAATGTACTGCAGCTCCTTGTAACTGGATCGCCTATGTTGAAACCTTAGGCTGAAACAAAGAAAGGAAATTGTGAGTACGGTTCTTGAATGCACCATCATAGAAGATGCACATAAAACCTAGAATATATCAGTTACAAGGGCTGTTATCTTTTCATGAAAAAGGGATAATATTCTTACCTCTGGTCTTTTAGTCGGTTGTTGTTAGTAAGTCCAAAATCCAGATATGCGATTGCCTCCCTCACCTGTGAAATTCAGGATAAAAGAATAAGAACCCAAACCTTACTCATTTGTGCTAAGACCATCTTATCTTGGGAGGAAAGCTACTTACAAGATCATAAAAAATATATATCTGCTTGCAAAGGTTGCTCTGCTCCAACTGCGAAACATAATCAGACTAAGGTTGTTAGCAATCTTCTTAATGATTTGAGTAAGTTGTACGGAAGCACTGGTAAATGAATTGATCTCTCCGGAACAATACTTACCCTTTTAAGTAAGTTGTACGGAAGCAGTGGAAACCTGACAAATGGCAGCAGATCATTCAGAGCCTGAAGCCGCTCACCGAAAAGTAGGTCAAGGGTTTTGAATGCAACCAGTTCATCCACTGCTTCCCACCCACATAGTTCCTTGGCTTGCAAGCACCATATCAGAATGGCATTGAGAACTCTCTCCTCGGATGTTACTGTTAGATCTTGATGCTGCAAAGCCACTATTTCTTATAAGACTCTGTTCAGTTGATATTTCCCCCCAGTTACAAGACAGAATTCTAGCCATGAAGAAAGGGGTCAAAGAGTCAATTTCAATCTCCAAGGTCAATGCCAGTTGAGGCAACTAGTTTCAACTCCAACCACTCAGCTAAGATACATTGCTCACTCTTACATGTGCATTCCGTCTAACCTACAAGTAATCTAGGATAGATGCTAAAATTTATCTAAACTGCAGGGCTCTCCCTTTTTCACGTTATAATATGAAGAATAGCTACATATGATGTCTTCTCAAGTCATCTGAAGAATGAGAACCCACCTGAATGATGTTACCAAAAGTTGCCTCATCTAACAAAACGAAGTCAAGGCTTGCGGTTGTACAATAATCAAATTGCATTGCGAACTTTCTCTGACACGTTTCTTCAATGAGTTTACAGGATGAAATCGATGAAACGACTTGCAGGATTGGACACACAACGTCCTGCAACAAAGTTGTAACAGTTAGCTTTCAAAGCAATAACCCTATTAACTTCCCAAATTTGTCTGCTTCGTCGTCCATTAAACTTGTGCATAATACAAAAACTTGTTGTATTGACCACCTTCCACTAGGAGAACTCCATCCCTGCATATAATATGTACATGAAAAAGTGTTAATATCTAATAATTCAAGATCCAAAAGCGATCTCTTCTTTTGTCCTGGATCGCAACTCCCTCTCCGTTCTTATAACTCTAGCCAGACAAGAACATATCATGATAACAAAGTGAAAAAGAAGACTAATAGCATTTGCTACATTGCATTATCTGCTGAGGTGAAGATTAGCTACCTCCGATAGACATTCTAAAAGCGTTTTGCAGCATTCCTGATAGAGAATAGTGACTCCGAATTGGTCAGCCAACAAAAGAAGTTGGAGTAACAAAGTTCCAGAATCTGTAGTGTCCTCCAAATTGAGATCCCCACTATACATGAATTCGAGCATTATCTTGAATGCCTGCAGTGGCACATCTCTTAGATGAACTTCAGATGAGCAGCTCTCACTCATTCCGTTTGTGAACATCTGCCATGCAGAGTACAAGTCCTTAAGCCAATCCAATCAATGAAAAGAACAAAACAAACACATCTGAAATTGCTAGAAGTTTCCTACCTTGGCAAATGGAACACTCCATATGCTGACAACAATCTTATGAGGCTGTGCAACAAGTCCATATCCTTCAATGTAAATATTTAGATCACTGTACTCCCCAGCTGAATGCAATTCACTGAGCCGTTTCTGATTCACAGGGAGTCCGGCAGGGAACATCGTACAAGAATGGGGTCGAGAGTATGGATACAACAATTCCACACTCTTCCCATGTCCAAACAACTTCTTATTTAGTTTACACCTTTCCAAAATTTCTTCACACTGCTTTGCCAAGGGCGTCACCTCAAATTGCAGACTCAACGCCATCAACATCTCAACTTCCGACTCCAAAACCTACATTGAAGGAAATCCATAAAAGACACAAAAGTATATCAGTTTGCACTCCTAAAAAGCATATAACTGACCACCAAAGCCAAATCATATAAGGCCAATGGAAGATCTAAAATGAACAATACCTGGGTTCGACCAGCATAAATGTACTGAAGAAGTGAACGCATAACTGGATATGCTACACTCTTAAGCTGGATGACATCTTCATCCGATGAACTGAAAGGGAAATTACCAGAAGCTTGCAGAATGACTTTGTGAGCTGGAACGGGTCTTTCCTCCATGCCAACAATGAAGAAGACATCAGAAAGTTCCCAGCTTTCCAGGAAATTCTGAAGCCCCCATTCCTCATCCTCAACTTCCTCACCTTCCAACTCCTCTTCACTGTCTTCCTTCCCTTCAAACTCTCCCGAATCGACTTGCTTCCACAGCAACATATGGTCATGAGGCAATGGCAACACATTCACATTCCTATAACCCACATGCCTATCCCAGCTACTGAGCCCGACATAACGAACGTTACAATTCGGATTCGAATGCAGCCACTGAAACATGAGATTCTGGAACGGGTACCTTCCTTTTCCGATGCTGATCAACCCATCGTAAATGCTGATCCAGTAACTCTGGAAAGTAGAGGAGCATAATCCAATACCTTCCACATCGACCTCCGTCTTCCCGTCTGCTTCAATCTTCAATCTTCGGTTCCGGTTGCTGCCGAGGATCACAGTGTAATGAGGGCTGTTGTCCCTCTTGTAATGGTAGTGGAGAGTACCGACATTCTCTCTGAAGACGACTGTGACATCGTTGTGAGCAAATGCATCGAATGCTACACAGCCTCTTCCAGCTTCCCGGAATTTCAAGTCTTTCCTCCAAGCACACTGGAATGGCGCTACTGTGAGGAACTTCTTCTCTTTCTCTTCCAACATTTTTCTATATTCTCTCTCTCTTTACAATCCACCGGATGATCAGTATCAATTAGAACCTCCAGAAATGGCTTATCCTGCTGAGGAAAGAATGGCAAAAGATTCATCAAGTAGGATAAGAACGGGGAAAAAGACTCAAATTGTCGAACAAGATAAGAAATCAGAAGACTTTTGTTTAACGAAGGGAACCCATCAGCCTCAAATTGATCAAAGATCTGCTGACATGGCTGAAAGTTGACGAAATTGGGGCTATAAATAGGCAGAAGGGAATGAGTGGTAGAAAAAAACATCGCTTTCTGAAGAGCAAACTGGAAAACCTCTGAAAGTAATCAAACCCACCACAACTTGCATAAAAATCTCGACCCCAGGCAAGCAGGAAACTCAAACATCAATCCTACACCACATCCTTATCTAATTCAGAACCAAAAATATCTGAGGCAAAAGCCCACCAAAAAGGAAAGGAAAAGATCCTTGAAATTGACAAACAAAAATAAAACATGACATGGGTACTGTCAAAAAAAATAGAAATTATTTCTCAGCAATTCATTTTCTCATCAGCGAATTACCTGTTTGAATATCCAAATCGTTCGAGGAAATCCTGCAGGGGAATTTGAGAAAGGGAAGCGGGAGATAAGAACTAGAGTGATGATCGAGATTCGAGAGAGTGGGGAGTTAATAAATGGGAAGCAAAAGGGTTCGCGGGGAAAAGTGAGAATCTTTTGAGGGAGAGATTAAAAAATTGGAACAGGGTTTTGTTTGCTAGGGATTTTGGATTAGGCTGCCAGATTGGATCAGCGTGGCATTGAGCCATTGAGTAGGATCGAAGATGTGTTCTTCAGTAGGGAAAAGATACGTGGGGCAGGGCGGTGGGTTGCAGCTGTGAACCCCATGTCCCGCCAAGCTCCCACTAGGCGCCGTCGCTGCCCGTCAATCGGTGCATCCAATCCCCTTACTTCCATGATTCTGAATCCCTAGAATATTTTATTTACCCATGGGAAGATTTTTTCTTTTGAGGGTGTGGTTGGTGGATGTAACTGGGAATGTTATTTGTAGGGATGGCAATGGGTCGGGGACGGATAGTGCATATCTGTTACCCTATCCAAAGTAGTTCGGGTTTTACCTATACCCATACCCACATATGAAACGGGTAGAAAATTAAAACAATGCCCATACTCGTTCGGGTTTCGGGTATCCACAGTTATCCATGGGTAATGATTTCTCTTCATAACTCCAACTAATATATTAACATTTACACGTATTCTCACATTACGCAAGAAGAAAAAGTATGACAATAATTCACTAGAATGAAGAAAATGAATTAAAACAACACAATTTCATGAAAATATTATATTTATATGCTAAATATAAAATATGCTAGAGAAAAATAATGACTATTTCTAGACAAAATACATATGTATGTGTATAATCGGGCGGATTCGGGTTGGATACTAAGAAACCCATGCCCACCCATTACCCGCAATATTCGGGTTCGGGTTTTACCCGTACCCACTAAATGTCCTTCGGGTTCGAGTTTTACCCTGCCCGATTAGGCCGGGTTCGGGCGGATATCCACGGTTACGGATATTTTTGCCATCCCTAGTTATTTGGACATTTGGAGGTTAATATTAGATTAGATGGTGGCTAAATAATGCAGGAGTGAAAATGGTGGCATGTTACTAAATGAGTAGCCTAGTTGGTAGTCCGTTGAACTTCCTATAATCTATACAACGAGAGAAAGAATTAAGAAGATGACGACACTCCTGAAACAGGGGCCCACCACTCGACTCCAACATCACTCCTTGCACAATCTGATGGATGACAACCTTGACATCTTCTTCTAAGATAGCGTGAGACAACCTTCTTCAGACCACAACTAAAATGGCATCCCTTGCAGCTAGTAACTCTGCAAGATATAGGTGAAAGATACCTTGATGTCGGAAACCCAACACGTGCTCATCCGAGCCACGCACAACAAGACCCCAATTGAGCACCTAGAGGCATGGATAACATTGTCGAAGTTGATCTACAAATGCTCATCGGGTGGGCTTTCCTAGAGAGGCAGGGAGGATGGAGGAGCGCGGAGAAGAATAAAGGATGCATGAGGCAAGGAAGAGAACATCACGGACATGGTAAAAGTATTGACGAGCTAGCGAACAAATATGAGGTTGAATATTTTTAAATACCATTTTATTTCTAGATTTCCAAATTCTCCACAAAAGACAAATAAACTAGAGAATAAGGGTTTGAGATTGCTATTTAAGCACAACTTGATGCACCTTAGGTTGAAATTCATCATCGCGACTGAAACAAGCACGATGCTTAAACCCACAAAAGACCATAGTTGGATGGTCTTGGGATAATGAAAGAACAAATGGTCAATACTCTCATGATCCATCCATCAAATAAGGCATCGAGTCAGGCAGTTTACTCCCCGGGTTTGGAGCGCTAGTGTTGGAGGCATGACCACTTTCAGACATTGTCTTTTATCTATTCGAATCCAAATAAAAGACTTTCAGCTAGGAGCAAGAATACCTTCTAGGACAAATGATATCTCGACTTCACATAGTATTTACCATTTTTATTAAAGTGTCATATTCGAAAGTCCTTTTGAGGGAGATGAGGAGGGTCACCTTGCATATAAGGTTAACTGATTGAGGGTCAAAACAATACTTTCACCTTGGAACATGCCAATCCAGCGCACCTTGTCTGATAGAAAAAGAAACTCTTAGCAAATTATTAGCATTAGCTATATGAACCACTGGAGTTGCTGGTTTCATCGAAGGATTCTATCTATCATAGAAGACATCAATATATTGCCCATCACCGACCTGCCATTACAAACCTTGCATAAGGTCTCTCCCAAATAATATGTTACAACAACCCCATACATATTATGATATAACAAAACAATTCTTTCATCTATTTGTCATGGGAAAATGTAGTTTAAAGGTTAATTAGGTGTATGATATATTTTACTAACTTTTACGAAGAGTCAACAATTTTTTCGTTGAATATGAATTTGGATGCGAATAGATAAAATGATTATTTTGTCCACCATATATCTGTTGGAGTTTTTGGAATTTCCATTTCACCATTTTGAATTTATAGTAAGGACCCATTGGCTTTTTCTAATTAAAATTAAAACAAAATATTAATCAATCTTTCAAGAGCACTCCAATCTCCATAGTCCATATGCCATACTCTCAGTCTCTCTATTTCATTCTTTCCTCCCATGAATTTCGAAAGGTACATATTCATTTCTTTTCTACTCGGATTTCAATTATTTTTACACAAAAAAAAATTTAATTCAATGAGATATATAAAATAATACCCACTTGTATATATTTTGAACTTATTTACGTAATCAACAACTTACTCATACCAAGTGATTTTTCGTGTACCACAATGCTATAAAAACAAAATCATCAGTCGGTCCATTTCATTTTCCAAGTGAAAGACAATCTTCCGTGAAAGTTGTCCACTTGCTTACTTGTCAAACCAACAGTTGTTGACATTTCATCAGGTTGTAGATTTTATAGTCCCATTTTCACCACATAACAAGAGGCATTGCATTTGCAGTGAACTGCATCCCATGTTCCTTTAAACTTTTCAAGCAAAATTTTCCTCCTGCACACGACCTAAGTCCCAATAGTATACTAGGAGATCGACATGTGAAATGAACAGGTAAATGTAAAAAGATTTTGACTTTAGTGGTGGAGTGACTCAGAAGAAAGGAATGCACACACTTGAAACTCTGAAATACTTTGAATCCAAACTATCTATGTTATTATTTCCACCACACTCTTGAAGAGAAAGAGTAAAGTAAGAACAACAGACTCCTGGCTGCTGCTATGTGTTTTTGTTTGTTCCGTCACATATCCACTTACCATTACAACTTGACCGACCTAAGGGTCAAACAGATTACTTTTACTAGGTTCAGCGAAGAAACTGCAAAATGGATTCAAGAGAGAACAAGAAGAGAGTAGAGTTCTCTTCAAAAGGCAACTTCAGTTGCTGATCATGTCAATTTGTTACTTCCTCCCCCAACTTCAGTTGCAGGTTTCATCATCAAATGAATCACAGTCAAAGCATCTACTCAGAATCAGCCTTTCTGCTACAGGAGTAGTAGGAAGCTAGCAGGTTGAGTTCTTGTAGCAAATCCAAACTTCGAAGTACTGTACTTTCTGTGGACACCAGTTAGCTTCCCTTTCCCAGAATTCTGATGAAATCCCACAATCAGTCTTGAGCATTCCCTGTTAAACCAACAGAGGGAAGGATCATGTTCAGAATGATAGGTATATTGATTTAGTCAAATGAATGTACAAGCCGATGGGCTTTAGAAGACCGGTACATGTTCAGCATCATAGGTAGAAGAAACAAGATATCTTTCTTTTCTAGAAGGACTTACAGAAGTTGATCTTCCGAGTAGCTACTGTACCACTCATGAGTCTTGTTCCACTGGCTAGAGCCATAGAGGCAGCACTGTGCTGTGTAGATTGCAGCAGCAGACATCAATGAAGGTGGGTATTTCAGCATTTCATACTCCACTAAGCACAGCTCGATCAGAAAGAACGATAGAAGCTCAAGCTGTGAAAAGAGAAAAAGTCATAAGTAATCAGGTTTGCTAAATCTGGGATCAACGTTTCAATCTCTGTTCAGTACCACAAACCTTCTTGTCAGATTGGGCAGCTTTAAGAAATCTCTTCATGAAAACATATGGAGTTGGGACTGACATATTGAACTGCAACGCATGCACAATTAACTTCTCCTGCGGTAGAAAGAGTAAGGCACAAAAAACTAGTTAGATTGATGAAGAAGTTTCAATTTAAAAAGTGCATTTCTTGTATTTGAGGCTTACCATGTCAAGAACTTCTTTTCTACTGTATGCCTTGTCAGAAATTAGGATGAGATCGTCAACAACAGGCACAGAAACTTCTTCATATTTGCAAGCAAGAAGCATGGCTGTAACTCCAACCAGCTGGAGTTTCTTCCTCACAAGAGAATGGACAGCTAAGAATCTATCAATGAGATTCACAGTAAGATAAAGTGTTTCATCCATCAACTCAAACTTGTAGTGGACCTGTAGTCATCACACATTCAAAAAATAAAGTCAGTTTGATCCATCCATTCAAACAGAATGTCAACAAATTTCCCATCTTCGAGTATGCATAAACAAATTACCTCAATCAACCAGTCAATCAGAATGCCTCTCATCCTTTCATTGATATCGAATTGGTTAGCCATGTAGTTTGGTGAGACGGCACTAGTAACCTCAGATTTCCTGTAGAATGTGTACAGATCGTCAATGTATTCAGTCACAGCAAGTGGGTTGTTCTCATCACAACCATCTATATCTACAATTGAGTCTTGTCCTTCTTCTTCAGAAGCAACATCTTCCATTTCCACTTCCTGCTAAAAACCAAGCAAATCGACATCAGATCAGCGATGAAAGAAAACTTTTGCCCCCACCGAACTATTACTGAAAGATCTCTTGAACTTTTTACCATTCTGTCAATGTCTTCCAGCATTGCTTCGGTGTGTTGTACAAACATTGGTTCAGAGAAGGAGAAGTCTTCTTCTGCATCAGTGATTGCAATGTCTTGTGATTCATTCTTCGATTCCTGTTCATACCCCATCGCTTTAGATCTACAAACACTTTAAGAGAGATTCATTCATCATACAGAAACCTTAAAAGATTACCACTTGTGGCTTAGGGTCTTGCTTTGTGGCAATTTGTGCAGCAAATCTCCTGAAAAAAGAACGGGACAAAAAGAACCCTAGTAAGCAGAAGTGCTTGAAATTTGAACCAGGCAAAACCTAGGGCTTTGGTTGCTCTACTGACCTAGTGATTGGACGATGAACAGGTTGATTCTTGTTATCACATTGCTTACTGTAGGCGGAAAAGAAAGCCAAATCAGGCAACAAAGTAAAGATTGACATAATCTTGGTACCGGCGATTAGAAGCTTTCACTCTTTTACTAAGAGAACTAATTGAACTTACACAGGAGGGTAAGTCGGAGCTCCAACTATATTCCGATTGATAGCACTCAACGCTCGACGATTCCCTCCGGCAGCGGCCACCAGCGGCAATTTCCCGACTCCGGCCCGCAGACCCACTAGAAACAAAGAAGTCAACCAATCCAAAGTCAAAACCCCCAATTGGAAAATTTTCGAATTGGAGACGAAACGGGTTTGGATTCCGCCGATTAATAATACCTTGCATAGTCGGGGCGGGTCCAATCACACCCGGGTTATTGTTCTCGTCTGATCCCGCCATTATTGATTCTCTATCCCAAAACAAGAAGACGAGAAACAAGTCAGAAAACCCCCACTATATTCAGTAGAAACCATCGATTCAAAGAACACCCAGAAAGAATCAAGACCATACGAGAAAAACCCACCTCTCAAATCAACGAAATCCTTCTCAGTTTCCGATCAATTCGGTTAGATGGAGCCGAAGAGGTTCACAGAAAAGAGAGAAGATAGGGCTTTCTCTCACAACTCCGTCACATCAAATACGCCCTTTCTTCTCTCTCTCTCTATCTCCAACTCTGAAGTTTCGATCTGGGTTTTTGCGGAAGAAATGAAGACGACGGAGGAGAATGGGGAAAAGGACGAGAAAACCAGTAAAGAAAGAAGGATTGTAACAGGGAGTCAGACAGCGGATATATTGTCCAGAAAGAGAGAGCCTTCGGCAAACAAATTTTTTTTTTCAAAAGCAACGGCTAGTTTATCTCGGCCGTTGGATCTCTTTCTCTCTCTGCTTCTGAAGAAGATTGAATTGAAAGTCGGGTGCTACTCGCGTCTTCTGCTGGTGTGCGGCTCAACGGCTACCTGGCATGTGCTATGTTAGCTCCTTGTTGCCTTTTCTTTTCCTTTTGCCTTTTCGTTTAAAGAGATTATTGATAAGGAAACTCATCAAATTTAGCCTAAAATCAACACCCATCATGCCATTGTCAAGGCTCCATTCTTGGAATTCAACTTTTTTAATTCTTTTCAATTGTGCATTGGGTTTACTACTAAGTATGGATAACAATTTCGCGCGTATACGCGGGTAATTGAAATGTATTATTGTATACTTAATTCGGTTTTATTTAACCCATATTGTATTGATATGACTATGAAGACATGAATGGAAAGCATTGAAAGAAAAGTTGTATTAAGAGGTAGGGATTTGCTTGATCGATATGATTATGTCGTTTTTACGGTGTTATCCTTTTTTTGTACATTCAAAAATGTTTATGCGTATACTAATTCTTTCTTGATAATATTGTTATTCGTAACACATTCTAGAATCATTATTCTCCCCGTTCGCGCTCTCAAACGCCTCCTTACACTAGAATTTCCCCGTGATGGATCATGAATTTGGAAGATGGGAATGGACAAGATATACCTCCTAAAATTCATCATGGCTGGCACTAATTATGGATGACAATGTCAACATGTTAAGCTCGAGTTGACATGGCTTATCCCATAATTTCTTCAATCCTCTCAACTCTATATCATTTCATTCTCAACTGATTCTATTTTAAATCCTTACTAGAAATCCTAAGATAGTAATATAGTTAACATCAAGAGATGATGCATTTCTCAACAATTTTTCTTCATCAGATCATGTCACATTCTCCCTTTTCATTCAAAAAGTGGTATTCATTTTCCCCTCGCAAAATTCATGTTTTGTGTTTTATGCTTTATTCAGGTTACATACCATAAAAGGGAGCGAAAGAAAGTAGCTCGACTGGTTGGAGAGGTTATGCAATACTCGACTGAGTTGGAGGAGATCCAGGGATTTCTTCGGTGGGAGGGCAATCTCTTCTTCGGCGGGCTTTCTCTCGTAAAACCAAAGACGACCCAAACCCATTCAACTAGGAAGACACATTGGTTCCCTCTCTATTCACATCCTCCTCTTTAAAAGCTTTACCACATGCTTCTTTAAACTTGTCTTCGGGAGACACCCCACGAGAGGATCAAGAGACTGTACTCGTCCTTCATCCCACAACCATTCAACAGAAGCAATAACAAAGAAAGCAACAAGAGTTGAGAGAACACGACGGCCTTGTCAACTGAATTTCCCACTCCATCCTGTGCTACATCGAATCAAAATATTCATCCAGTTGGGAATTTCCACAACAGGATCTTTATCTCACTAACAAAATCTGAATGTTCACCTACATCGGTGTCCTTTACAAGATAACACAAACTAACATATATCCCGCACAAGACAAATATGAGACTTGAATTACACATCCCTCCCCACTCTATTATCATTCCTCGTCATCACAGTAATGTTGTAAGTACTCTGTAGATCTTAATTACATTCTTTGTCTTGTTTTCGCAGTTCTTGAATTGCAACGATTAAGTAATTAAACAATAACATTAAATAATGGATATTGTTATTTTAAGTTTATCCGGTTCAAATGTATAGTTATGACTGATTACAACTATAAAAGCAGCCCATAAGCCATAATGTCTTGCTATAGAACGAACAATGACAACATTTATTAACTTTAAAATTATTTTTAAGAATTCATGTTAAAGAAGAATTCACAATATATCAAAAGCCACACCTAAAGTAATTTATGGATTAGCTATATTCGTCACTGTACATGAATGTCTTGTAATCCATTTCTTACATTTTCCTTGATTGTTAATTACGCTCCTGGCCATTTTTAAGCACTAACTTAACTCTGGCCCCTGGGATTAGTTTTTTACTTTTTTTTTCTTCTTCTTCTCCTTTCTTTCCGTTAAATTGCTGCCTGGTTGGATGGATAATAGTACAAACTATTTCTTTATTCGTTGCTAGTGGAACGAATATTGGGAGCGTGTTGCCGTGCCGTTAGAGCTTTGCTGAATCTTGTTGCCTGTTATGGTTTTGAAAAAAGTCCAACTAAGATTCTGCAAAATGGGTTGTCGTTCCCACTGTTTCATACATTACTCGGTAAATTAGCATGATGCGTTCGAATAAGGGATGTCAATAACTGGGTTAGATCGTAAAGTTTTATCATACATGATGATTTCGGTCGTCATTGAGTAAAATCAAAAGTATAATACACCTTGACAAAGAAAATGATATCTAGATCTTAAATTGACCGAAGTTTTAATTTGATTAGGAACAACAATCATCGATCATGATTCGTCAAAATCTATGCAACAAATTACATGTACCATTTTGGGGTTTAGGATCTATGATTTAGATAACTAAGAGTCTAATACCTAGGGTTCATGCATTAAGGATTAAGGATTTTTTTTTTGTGTGAATTAAGGGTTAAGGTATAGACAACCAAATATTCAAATTCATCAAACGACAATTCGACAAACATCGTCAAATTCAAAAGGACAACAAGTCAACAATCAACATAAATACATAATTGTCATTCGTCAATCGACTAAAGTGCCCAATGATAATGTCTAAATTCAACACAAGTTCAAAGTCCACACTTAAAAATTAAAATAGACAACCAAATAACCAATAACTCATGCTCCTCCTTCTCCGGTAGAACTTGTAGCACCACCAACATTTGCACAACCTTTCTTCTTCAAAGTCCCGAGAAGAGTATCATCGGGATCATCATCGCCATCTTGGTTCATGTCTTCGTCGGACTCGATGTATTCTTCATCATCACCCTCCTCCTCCTCCTCATCAACCCTAACAGGTAAGCTATGCACTCCACTCGGGATGTCACTTGCAGTTTCCACTCGAGATTGAAAAGTATTAGTAACTAGTGCAAATAAAATACACAAATGTTAGTATGTTACTAATGGAATGGTTTAAAATTTACATAGTAAAGAGTATAGACAATTTAGAATAATAAATTGAATTCTTACCACTTTCATAATCGATTGTCTCTTGGTCTTCTTCCTTATCATTCAGATCATCTACAGTCTTTCCACTTTCATATCTTATCCAATCTTCAGCACAAATCAATGCCTCTACAATGTTTGGGCTTAAAGAAGACATGAAAGGACTAAGAACTCGACCTCCACCACTGAAAGCGGACTCCGATGCAACAGAGGAGACTGGAACTGCTAATATATCCCTAACCATCTCTGAAAGAATGAGATATCTAACACTGTTCTGAGCATACCACTTCAAATGCTCCTCCCATAGCAACAATAGATATGTCACTAGTCTCAATAGGAGTAGTAGTCTGGGTAGTAGGCACAAAATCAGAGGGTTGTAGACTTCGTACAATGCAATCATCTCCTTCTTTACTTCATCTGCCAAAGCTCCCCCCTTTTGAGATCCCATACATTTCTTCCAACATCATAGTCAAATAGTCTAGCTTACGCCTGGGATCTAGCACACAGGCCATGTAAACTATCCTATTTATCCTAAGGTTATCCTCCTCGTCATCAACATCATTCTCAAACCAATACTTTCTCACATTTGCCTCTATTCTTTCTGCCATTCTTTGTATTTGTCTATCTGCATCTTTCTTCAATGTTGCTATCACTTCATGAATATCCACAATGGCTTTGCAGAAAGTATGTGCAGTGACATATGATGTTCCTGATACAAAGTAAAATTTACCGAACATTAGTATAAATAATATAACTCATAACTCATAATCATTCAATTTAATTTTAAAATTTGATAGTTATTAGTTCATATACCTGATACACGTAGAGTAAGCTCATAAAAGAACTTCAGGTACTTCATGAGCCGCCTAATACTGCTCCAAACATCTTCAGTTGGAAGACACTTCTTGGAATCCACATAGTCTCGAAAGGAAGAATCAGTAGGACTAGTATACAAGAACTTAAAAACCTGCTCAAACCTCTCTGCAGAATCCAACATCAGATAGGTGGAATTCCACCTAGTCGGAACATCCAAAGACAACAGTCTTTTCCCATCCATATCTAGATAGCTGATGCCTTTCTTGAACTTTGCACTCCGAGATGGGGATGACTTCACCCATTTCACACAATCCCTTACCCTCTCCACAACAACTCCAACCTCCTTCAATCCATCAGAAACAACCAGATTGATGATATGTGCCACACATCTATACTGCAAATGCTTCTCATCTAGCAAATCTGTTCCCCGCCTCTTCATTTTTGTTCTCATGCACTCAACAAGAACATCATTGGAACTGGCATTATCCATTGTAATGCAAAACAAACTCTTCACTTTCCATTCTTGTAGACACTTCTCCAAAGTATCTACAATATCTATCCCCGTGTGACTAGTAATGGGAACAAAGCAAATAATTATCTTCTGCAACTTCCAATCATCTCCAATAAAATGTGCAGTCACACACACAAAATTCTGGTTGTTATCACTAGTCCATGTATCTGTAGTGATAGATATTCTTCCTTTGCACTTTGAGTTAAAAAAACTCAATCAATATTTCTTTCTTCTCCAGAAAAATGACATAACAATCAGATCTTATTGTTTGCCTTCCAGGAATCACAAACAAAGGTTGAGTTGTTGCCATAAATCTCCTAAACCCCTCCCGCTCAACAAATCTAAACGAAAGCTCATCCAAGATTATCATCATAGCTAATGCATGTCAAGATTTATTCTGATCAAACTTCCATGGAGTAAGAGAGCCTACCTCACCATCTCCACTTCCAGATTGATAGTTCAATATCGACTGACCACTAGCTTCCTTCGCCCTCCTCTCCCACATTAGGTGATGTCTCTTCAAACCACTAGTCCCATTGAAGGTTGAATGAGCTTTGATCCGCGTCCCACACCGTTCGCATTTGCCGTATGGGTAGTCATCAACCAACTCACGGGTGTAAGGAATCCACCACTTAGATTTTGACTTCCTCCCCTTCCCCGTGTCAATTTTCTTATGTACACCAGGTACCTCAGCAGATGGAGGAGGATTTGCTACAGATGGAGGAAGATTTGCCTCAAAAGGTGGATTTGCTGCAGCTGTAGGTGGGGTGGATTTGCAGTAGTGGTAGGTGTGCTAGTCGAAGCCTTCCCTTTTTTTAAAGAGCTTTGGCCTTTTTTTGAAGAGCTTTGGGGAGGTAAAGAACTAGCTTTCTTCTTACTACCTCCTCCACGACTGCCAGCAGAAGGTTTCGTCCTACAAAAAAAACAACCTCAATTCACTTCCAACCAGTACTCAGAATGCATAGCACCATGCACCAAAAGTAAAAACACAAGAAAAAACAACTCTACTAAAAATGCAGCAGAGAAACACACTAAGATGGTGCAAAAAACCAGTAAAAAAGCCAAAATCAACAACAACAAAGGCATGTAAACACATCAAAGAAACCCTGATCATCATGGTGGTTTAACTATATGTAGCCATTTCCTGAAATCATCATTGGTAAAACTATGTGTAGCCATTTCAATGCCAAACCAATCAAAGAAGTCTCAATTTTCTAAAGCATTACTATGTATGTAATACCCAACTGAGATGGAATGAGCTCAAACATCTACTTCCCATGACTACTATCAGTAGCACACCAAACACATGCAATCTCAATTCACGGTTGTTCAATAGCAAATCTAATAGTCAATTCAATATTTCAATTAACATACATTTGATTTTGTTGGCCTCAATGCCAATGGCCTGTTGGCTATTGCTGCCTCGGCACTCGGCAGCCTGTTGTTGTCCAAAACTGAGTCCGGAGATGGACCTACAAGGGAAATAGGGAAGGGTAAAAGGGAGACTCGGAGATGCAGCTGGAGGAGCCGAGGAGGTGGGCAGGTGGAGGCCCGGCGGAGGAAGGTGGCGGTCAAGCGGAGCCGCGGAGGAGGACTAGGTCTGGCCGTCTGGGAGGCTGGCGGAGGAGGACTAGGTCTGGCCGTCTCGCCATCACTACTCACTCGTCCCTGTCTGGGTTTCGAAGAGGGGTGTTGCGGCGCCGGCAACAAGAAGCGGAGAGGAGAAGGAGAGGCGGCGGGCGAAGACGGCGAAGGAGAAGCGGACTGGAGAAGGAGAGGCGGCGGGAGAAGAGCCGAAGATGAAGACCTCCTCAGTCCTCACGTTCTGCGTCTGTGTGCGATGGGCTAAGGTGTCGTTCGGGCATTTTAGGGTTTCCAAGCTGGCCCTCAAAATGCAGCGTCCCGGTTTTGGTATTACCGATTTACCGTCGATATTTACTGAGACTGGGGGCGATAAATTAGATTCCCTCAAGTTACCATCGGATACCGATACCGCCGTTTACCGATTCGGTAAAACGGTAAACCAATTACCGGGTTACCGTTTGTCTGCACTACTTAGTTCACTTTTATTTAATCCACATTGTATTAATATGACTAGGAGGACCAAAATGAAAGGCATTCATGCATTTTCTTTTAAGATGGTTGTTTCACTATTTCCTCATGTTTGATATAATAGATTTGTACATTGAGACAGTCTTGTTGAATATATAATGGGTTGAGATTTCCTCAACCAGCTTTCTTGATTCTAAGCAACCTCATTGTTTCACCTCTCTGGTTGGGTGCTTTACAGAAGCTTATAAGAATAAGACCTATATTGTGAATCCCTCTTGGTTTCAGCAGAGTAACTTGAAGGCGGAACACAATCCCTCCTAGGGGCTTAAGATTTTATATTCCTAGAGTCTTCTTCGAACAGTAAAATTCTTCTATGACGGGGTGATTTTGTCTCTTAAGATTATGATCCTTTGCACAGATGGAACGAGTTCGTTGTGATCTACAAAATGAGATCCATTTTAAATATTTTTGAGAAAACAAATTTCATACCTCTCGTTACCAACTCCATACCATATGGTAGCACCTTCATTTTAAAGTTGGTTTTCAAAATATTTACACAGACGGAACGAGTTCAACATGATTTATTGGATCTATAAATTTGTGGGGGGGGGGGGGGATACATGACCAAATAAACCACACCATACCACCCTGGTATAGAGTGGTAGTTTGTGGTAAATAATGTTGAATGTGGTAAATGACAGTTAGTATATTACTAATATAATATTTTCAACCATCCTAAAGTCTGGTATGTTTATACCATCTTGGTACACTTTCATACCATATGGTATGTTTTATTTAATACCAATCAATCCATATGGTATAGATTGGTAATAAATGTATCATTTTTTTTTGTTCCAAAAATATATGAAAGTGAATTTCATTATGAAGACCACAATTAATCTGATTTATCTGTGTAAAGAAATTTAAATTCCGATTTAAAATAGAGTGAAATCGTCCGTTAAAAATTAAAAAAGGAAAATGTTAGAGGCCTTCCATAACTATCTGGGAGTGTTGATGTGACAGTTACTGATTGAGTTATGCATTGTTACTCATTATAAAGTTACTCACCTGATTCGCTCCCTAGTCTGAACTGTATAGGTCTTCTAGGAATACTTGCCTAGATGAGGGACAGGATGATTCAGATAGACATCAAATTGGATAGGTGCTCGAATGTTCGAGTATGGCTGTTAGTTGCTTATATAAGCATAAACAACCTTAATTGCCGCTTAAACGCAAACCCCATTCAAACTAAGGGAAAAGTTTGCAATCTACCAAGATTTTTTGTTTGTTTTGCAGTTCAGAAGAACTTCCCATAAAGAGTTTCACGAAAAGATTACATAAGTTTAAACTTTTAGCAAAACGGTCAATACTTTCATAGTATATGAAGCTGAAATTTAACACATCAAACTAGTGATGGGCAATGAATTGGTTGGGCGGGTTTTTTTGGCAAAACCCACTCACCCCTTGTTATGGTGGGTGATGAAAAAATGACCCACACCCACCTATTTGTATCGTATGGGTGGGTGGGTTTTGCGGTTTTGATGGGTCAAATTATTTTTAAATAATTAGACGATTATGAGTCATAAATATATGCATAAGACTAATTGAATATCAATACTACAAATCAAGAAAATTGATAACTATCAAACGTAATTTATTCCATAAGCTAACACCAATAATATAATTTGCGAACACAAAATATTTTTTGATAGTTATCATATTTTAAAGTGATCGATTTTATGTTGTAAATCAAGTAAAATTTATAAAAGATAAATTTTAATTTAATTGAATCAATCACGATTGAAGTTTTGGTATAAGAAGAAATAGTGTTTTATTATAGAATGTGCATTAACGACTTAATATATCATGTGATTTTGCAGGTAATGACCCACCCGCTACCCACCCACCCAATTAAGTGGGTGACAAAATCAATGACTCACACCCACCCACCACATACACCCAAACATGTAATGGGTGGGTTTGGGTGGTCTAGCGGTTGACCCAGTAATTGTCCATCCCTATATCAAACATGTATACTACATTGAATGAAACACACTAAGCAAATGAAGAAAAAAAAGAAGCAAATTGTCAAGCACGCAATCACGGTCTACTATATAGATGCATCATATATACACATGATAATGGTACATAAGATTCAGAAGTGGGAGTTTGCTGGTTGGGATTGTCAACGTTATTTAGCTCAGTATAGTTAAGAATCAGCTAGCCCCCTCTCCTATTGTCCCGACAGGTCGTTCATCATTCAGATGACGAGTTCTCCACCTTGGTCTCGTACTTGAAGTTGAACGATGTTGATGTGACTTGAATCGGACTATCAGCCGCTACGACTGGTTATTTGGGTTCGGGTTCTGGGTCTGGTCTGTAACCGTTTCCTTTGCCATATTGGATTAGGTTTAGACCCACATGGAGAAGTACTATAAATACTTCTCATACTCCTCTGTAATCTGTAATCTCCTCGATATAGTGAAATTGGCTCTCTCTCGCCCGTGGACGTAGCTAACACACATCGTGTTAGTGAACCACGTAAATCGTGTGCCTGTGTTTTCGATTCTCGCTTTCGTATTCTTTCTTTGTCGGTTCCAGCGATTTCTCGATCCGTAGCAGCGCGTTTATAACAAAGGATTTGATGCCGGTATAGACACTGTCGCCCATTCGTTAAGTAACTTGGTTGTCACTGGTGAGAGTGTCCCTTTGGGTATAGGAGTAGGGGATGTCACAAGATCCTCTGGTGGCCAACAAACTGATTCAAGTCAAACTCATGGGCTTCACACTCACCTCGTACTCTGTCTCCAACGTGTTCGAGGACTTGTTGCTTTCGCCCATGTGTAACCTCCTGAGAGTTTCCCAGAGCTCTCAATGTGTCTCTCAGCAAAGAATGGAATGCCAGTCTTGATGGTAGTCTTCACTCCAACCTTGAGGGACACATTGACAGACCAAGTGCTGCTCTTGGTGTCTGTGTAGCTTAGCTGCACTCTCGCCATGTTGGGATTCGAAGTCTCGTTACTGGCGACTCCGGTGGCCATGGTGATGACGGACTGGTCGTAGATTCTGGCATCTATGAGGCGGAAATCCACATCATAAATGCTCCTCGAGATCACTAAGTCCTCCACCCCGATCCGAGCCTTCTTGCTTATTGTTGACACCCCGGCACTAAGGAAACTTATTTTCCCCTCGGTCGTGAGCCGCTTGGAGAAGTAGTTGTTGTCGTAGTTGCGCAACGCAATGGCGCTTTTCCCAATTTCACGGGCCAAAACAGCGTGTCGGCGTTGTTGGTGGTGTTGTCGCCGGAGTCACCCCAAATCCAGTTTGGGCTACGCCTCCAGAACTTGTTGAAGCAATCAGACTTGATACAGATGCTTTCGTTCGGGTTGGTAAAGACCTCGTTCCCCACGGACGGATCGCCAAGGTTGATGCCAGAGAATTCAAGGTACTCAAGGCCTTTGATCCAACGAGCAAAAGGTACTGCCCATTGTCGCCCTAGAACGCCATGTGTTTTGGTAGCACGAGGAGAAACTCCCAGTCCGATATCTCACAGACACCGTAGAGGTCACTATTCAGATCCTCCCACCCGGCGTACATGAAGTTCCCAAAAGGCGGGTCCGAGCGGAATAGGCAGGCATAGTGGTTGAGCTGGACGTGGAGGAACCGCACGGTCCTGTGGTCATCTTTGTCGTCGACGAAGACAGGCTTGAAGAGGGTGCACGAGCACTTGGACTGGTCTTCTTCGAGGTTGTCTGCCCCACCAGAGATCCAGTACTGAGTTTTGGACCACCTCACCCAGTACTTGTTATCATAGGAGCACCTGAGGTGGACCAAACCGGACACGATCTTAGAAGGCTCGAGTAAACCGGTTAATTGCTCAAAAAGGATTGGGTAATATATATAAGCATAAACAGCCTTAATTGTCGCCTAAACACAAACCCCACTCAAACTATAGCTCATTCCTTTGCGTTCATATGCTCCTCTGAATTGGTAGAGAAAATTTTGTAACCTGCCTAAATTTTGCTTGTTTTGCAATTAAGAAGAACTTCCCATCAAGAGTTTCACGAAACAATGACATAAGTTTGAGAAATTTTACAATGCTTCAAAGCATTGGTTCTTTAATTTTTGCCTCTATGGTACAACTTGAAATTTTACCTTTAATGTTATGGTGCAACTTCAGGTTGTACTTGTGCTTTTTTGTAAAATTCATTTATGATACAAACTAAAGTTGTACCATTATGTTATGACACATCTTAAAGTTGTACCATAACATAAAGATCAAATTATCTTATGGTACAACTTTAATTTGTACATTTAACGTTATTGTATAACTTCAAGGTGTACATTAAAGTATAGTAGAAGTGCTCCATAACTTTAAATTTTAGCAAAACGGTCAATACTTTCATCATATATGAAGCTTAAATTCAACACACCAAACACGTATCATACATTGAATGAAACACACAAAGAAAATGAAAACAAAATACAGAAGCAAATCCTCAAGCACGCAGTCGCGCGGTCCATGAGATAGATGCATCATATATGCACATGATATAAAGGTACATAGGATTCAGAAGTGGGAGCTTGTAGGTTGGGACCGTCGACGTTATTTAGCTTAGTATAGTTTAAGAACCAGCTAGCCCCCTCCCCTATGGTCACGAAAGGTTCTTCATCATTCAGATGACGAGCTTTTCCTCCTTGGTCTCATACTTGAAGTTGAAGGAATTGATGCCGGTATAGACACCATCATCCATTCGGTAAGCAACTTGGCTTCCGTTGGTGAGAGTGTCCCTTTGAGTATAAGAGTAAGGGATGTCACAAGATCCTCTGGTGGCCAACAGACTGATTCGGGTCAAACTCATGGGCTTCACACTGACCTCGTACTCAGTCTCCAACGTGTTTGACGACTCGTTGGTTTCGCCCCACGTGTAACCTCCTGAGAGTTCCCCAGAAATCTCAATGTGTCCTTCAGCAAGGAACGGAATGCATGTCTTGATGGTAGTCTTCACTCCGACCTTGAGGGACACATTGCCAGACCAGACCAGGTGCTGCTCTTGGTGTCTGTGTAGCTCAGCTTCACTTTCGCCGTATTGGGATTCGAAGTCCCGTTACTGGCGACCCCGGTGGCCATGGTGACGATGGACTGGTCGTAGATTCTAGCATCCATGAGGCGGAAATCCACATCATAAATGCTCCTCGAGATCACCAGCTCCTCAACCCCGATCTGAGCCTCCCTGCTTATTGTCGATACCCCAGCATTAAGACAACTTGTTTTCCCCTCGGTAGTCAGCCGCTTGCAGAAGTAGTTGTTTCCGTAGTTGCGCAACGCGACGATGCTTTTCCCAACTTTCACGGGCCAAAATAGCGTGTCGGCATTGCCAGCAGTGCTATCGCTGGAGTCGCCCCAGATCCAGTTGGGGCTACGCCTCCAGAACTTGTTGAAGTAATCAGACTTGATCCGGATGCTTCCGTCCGGGTTGGTAAAGACCTCATTCCCCACAGAAGGATCACCAAGGTCGCTGCCAGAGAATTCAAGGTACTCGTGGCCTTCGATCCAGCGAGCATAGAGGTACTGCCCATTATCGCCCTTGAATGCCACGTGCTTGGGCAACACGAGGAGAGACTCCTAGTCCAAGATCTCACAAACATCACAGAGGTCGCTGTTAGGCTCCTCCCACCCTGCGTACACGAAGTTCCCGAAGGGCGGGTCCGAGCGGAACAGGCACGCGTAGTGGTTGAGCTGGACGTGGAGGAACCGGACGGTCTTGTGGTCATCTTTTTCGACGAAGACGGGCTTGAAGAGCGTGCACGACCACTTGGACTGGTCCTCTTCTGGGTTGTCTGCCCCGCCAGAGATCCAGTACTGGGTCTCGGACCATCTCACCCAGTACTTATTGTTGTAGGTGCACCTGAGGTGGACCAAACCGGACACGGTCTTGGACGGCTCGACCTGGAACTTGGCGTAAGGGCTCACGGCTTGCTCGCCGGTGAACTGGAGGAGGCCGTGTTGCTGGACGTCTTCGTGTGTGTAGCGCATGTACTTGTTGTTGTACTTGCACTTCAGCACCACGTATCTCGGCAATGGCGGCTGTGCCATTTCTTTTTTTGTTGGTTGATGGGATTTGTGGATATGGAGATAACTGTACAAGTAATGGCGGATTTGATCGAGTTCTGGTTTGTGCTGTGGTGTGTATTGCCCATTGATCAGATCTCTATTTATATAGCAAAATCCCTACCTACCATGCATACTGTAGTCGACATTTAAGCTCTTTTTATAAATCAAATCTTAAAACCCACTTTTACTTTTCCTAGGTTGGTTGTTGGACTTAATTAGTACTGATCATCAGCATTATCACTCAGGTTATCTGTAAGTGTAATCCTCAATACAATTCGATCCACTAACTCCTCTCTGATACTAGCAGTGTTGAAGTTGGTGAGATACCACTTTCGATCTATTCCTAGGTTGTTTTAGCAGTGTTCTCCAAGTTGTCTCCTAGTGGGAGATTACTTGCCTATTAGAAAATTCAGCAACTGGCCCACGGATTAAGCCCTCAAGTCTAGGGAAGGAAGTCGGTGCGTTTGTGGTTAACCGCACCAGATTTTGCGGTTAACCACAATGACAAATCTCTAAATATCATAATCATAAATCACACTACTGTGGTTAGTGATTAATCATTGACCGCTATGATTTCGTACAATTATTCTGTGGTTAATCGCAAAAATCAATTTTCCAAACTCATATGTTTATCTATATTTTTTTTATAAGTTTGTTATCAATAGAAAAGATATAGAGATGCAAAGGATGAAATATACTGCAAAAAATGAGAATCATATTTCATGTATGGAAGATATATCGAATAAAATATATACAAAAAGTAGAGAAAAATATGTTGAGAAAATCATGGGCAAAAAAAAAAAGTCGATAAAAATATTAAATGGCAATACAACATTTACAACAATTCAACATCATTCTTATTAAATAAGATGTCAATAATTCAATAATTAGTAGAAGGCTAAATTACACGTTTTGTCACTCAAATTATACGAATCTTTCACATTTGTCACCCGAATCACTTTTCTTTCTTGTTCATCGCCAACTTTATGAATCGTTTCACCGTAGCCACCGGCTGTCCAATTTCGTTAAAATCATTCTACGTGGCAGTCAACTAAACCCTTTGACTGTTAGTTTGATGATGTGGCATTTAAAAAATAATAATAAATAAATATTAATTTTCAAATTCAAAAAAATTCATCTTCCACTTTTTTCCTTTTCCTCCCAGCTTGGAGTAAACGAATTGGATATTACTACCTGGTCTCTTACTTCAATTATGGGGCTTGTGGAGATTTTTTATACAAGAAAGGAGATTCATATACTAGGGGTAGACACTATGAAACCCAGAAACCCAACACCCCAATCCCTGAAAATGAAATCAGACCTTTTACAACGAGGATTTTCTCCGCCGAGCCTTCGCACTATTTACCCTCCCCTTCTCCTACTAATGCAATCCACAGTTCCCACCTCTCCCATTTCAAACTCTGCTCTCACCCTTTTCTCCCCCTCGTTCCATTCATGGAGACTCGTCGAAAAGATCAAAGTTTTTCTTCAATACCTCATCGTCGCCGCTGTCTACGGTTTCAACAACAACAGACCCGATTCTTGACTCGCCCACGAATAAAACATAGAGCCAAAGGGAGAAGTTCGATTGGTTCACACAATGGTACCTGTTGGGGATATAGCTCGGATCTAGTCGCGCCAACAAGACAGACCAGCGTTCCCTAGGAAGAACAACCCGTGTTAGTGTAGCCGCAGAAAGCCATGCTCGCGGAAGGGATTAATCGCGGCGTGAGGTATCGTGAGATAAGATGCGTCCGCGAGTATCAAAAGCGCCAGACGAGTATCAAAGGCGCCAGACGGCGTAGCTTTGCTCTACCCAAGTCGGCGACGTTTCGCTCAATTCGGACCGGGTAAGGAAACTGGGAAGAACGACGTCATATCCTCTGAAGGAACGGTCACATCCTAGTCCTAGGTATAATTATGGCCTAAGTATGGTCTAAATGTCTGACACATGCAGCAGTCATATCACATTAAATGTCCACCCACCGCAATGTAGCCTATAAATAGAGCATTTACTCCGGTGGGTGGGGAGATAGCATTTTTACGTTCTCACTCTAAAGTATAGACTTCTCTCTCTAAGACTTCACTCTCCATATCATCACTCACTTTTAATCTCAATCCTCCAAAAGAATAGAAAAACCTTATTGCTTGCTCTTCTCACCCCATCTTCACTCGAGCCTCACTCCTACACTCGGTTAGGCTCAAACAATTGGCGCCCACCGTGGGGCCAGAGTAGAGAAGCAATAGAAAATCAACCATCTATGGAAGAACATAATCCCAACTCACCCGATGAAGCAACACCTATCAAGGCGATGACGAACCCGAGAGTGTTCGCGGAAACCAGCAACTTGAATGCGGTACTTATTGAAGAAGAAGAGCCCGAGCTAACAGCCAAGGAGATGAGGCAGAAAATGGTAAAGCAAAATGAGGTCATAGCCGACATGAAAAACAACATGAACCAAGTCATAGCGCTCATGATGAGCAAGGAGGCCGCGGCAACGGCACAAGTGGCGACAACCGCGCCGCAACAGGTGAAGAGTCAGAGCTTGTCCCGCCACCACAACAAGCGCCGGTTGAGCCACCAGCACAGGAAGCGCAACAAGCAGAGCCACAAGCAAGAGCGAACCTCATCTTCTTGGAGCAACATCTATCCCCGCAATACCGTCCTCACCCACCCAGGAGAACCCTCCACCAATCGCTGAGCGGCGAAATTATGGCAGAACACCTAAGCGGAATGCCACCCGCCCTCCCAACATACAACGGAACAACCGACCCAGAGGACCATGTCAGCACCTTTTGTCTCCGGATGCAACTCCAAACCAACTCCAATGCGGCACTCTGCAGAACCCTTCCCAGACTGCGATTATACTTGGTCGCAGTTTGGTGTTGTGTTTTAGCGTGTCAAGTTTTTGGCACCGTTGCCCGGGATCGAACCCGGGTCACCCGCGTGACAGGCGGGAATACTTACCACTACACTACAACGCTGGTGTTTATCTAACTTTGACTGCTAGATGAGTTTGTGTGCTTAGAGCCTAGTCCACTGTCCAATTTGATGAATTGAGGGCTCCAAGTACTATTCCCTGCAAAATCCTGCTCAGTATGCTTTGAATTGATAGTCTTTATGATTATATGCAACCTAGGGAGGTAGTTGTAGCACTATGGAGGATGTTGAAGTATAAGATTTTTCCTATCTGTCTCTCTGTTGTGCCGGTTGATTTTGTGAACTAGTGGAGTTATGACTGTTGATTTATGCAATATTGATGACTCCCATTATACTGTGTTGTGGACTCCTGTATCGGAAAAGGAGGCTCATCTGTGAAATGAAAAGGCAGTTGGTCATCCATGTCAAAAACTTTGAAATCTTGAGACATGGGTAAGCCCAACGTGCGTGGCACCGTTCATTGCACAAAATCGGGTTTTGGAAGAGATTTTAGTGATCCTTGATGGGGTAGGGCTACAAGGTGAAGCTAAGTTGTCTCTAGTACAAGTAAAATTTCCACCCGTTGAACGATTTGCCTACTCGAGGATGTGTTTTTAAGGGCACGGATAGAGCTTCCGACACCCCCTTAATTTCATTGACCCTCCACACGAAGTAAAGAATATGAGTTAAAAGAAGTACTCTGGCAAGCGACAGATGTACAAAAATTGCTCTTGCTCACCTAATAAGGGCAGACCGCGCATACAAACTGCAGTTGGAACCCCAGCAAAGTAAAACAAAAGAAAAAGAGACGAATAGTAAGAAGAAGGGGTTCGACAAGTGAAATGAAATGAAAGAGCACCCGATACAATGAGTCCTTGGTTGTTGAATTGTGTGAGTCTTCGTATCCATAAATTTGCTGCATTAGTTCCACTGCTTCTCATGATCCTGGCTTGAGTCTAGTACTCGCATTGAGAAAGATAGGGGATGTCTTAGAAGACTAGTTGACCTCGTAAGATGCTAAATGATCTAGGAAATCCTCATTCGACGATCGTGGTTGCATGTTGCTATAGAGGTCTGGAGAGATGCATTGGTTTGAGTCAGGTTTGCTTGGGGATAAGCAAATGGTTAAGTGTGGGGGAATTTGATGACCTGATATATACACATATTTTTGTCCACCATTCATGTACCATTTGAGTCTCATCCCTCGTGTTTTAGGACGATTTCACGCTAGGTTGTTCGTGTTTGTGATATTTCAGGTCCTAGTACGTGAAGGAAGGTTTGGGCATGAGTTCGGGGCCGATTGGACGAAGTTGGGACGTGTGAGGAAAAGCAGGGGAAACCACACGGTCATGCGGTTATGGCCGTGCAGCGAGCATGATTGTAATGACCTTTGGTTTGTGTTAGGGATACCAATTGTTAGGGATGAAGAACCCTAGTTCCATGTGTTAGGGATACCGATTGTAATGGCGTTTGGTTTGTGATACTGCTTGATTGTAATCGATTGAAGTGTTTTGATTGAGTCAATTGAAGCCTGATCATCTTTTCTTAATTTACGCTGCAACCTGTGATAGATAGAATCCGATTAGGTTGTTAGAGCTTCTTCAATCGGTAGTAGTGAATCGATTATACGAGAGTTAGTCGATTCACTACTTTGTACTGGATTCCAATTCCAATAGTGGAGTTCTGTGTTAATTGCCTCAACGTTCTATCCCGGTGAAGATTAGTCGTCTGTCGGGTAGTCTGTCTGTGAGGGCTTGGTCAGCTTAAGAGATTCCAAGCTACTGTCGGATCTTCCGCAGTTTAATCAATAGTAAATCAACCAAAGGTAATTACAACTTTGACCTAACTAAGGAGATAGGGGGACTCATTCTCGAGTGACTCTTCCCTTGCTTAAGAACTTCGAACCATTTCCTGTTTTCTTGCTGCTTTAGCTTAAAATCACATTCACTCAACTTAGTCTCGCTAGATAACAGGTAGTCACGGAGTAGGCAGTAGATCAAGACCCCGGGTTGACAAATTGAACTTGCCACTATTATGCATTCCCGGACTGCGATTATACTTGGTCGCAGTTTGATGTTGTGTTTAAGCGTGTCACGTGCTCTGACAACCACCCCAATCAGCATCACCGTATGTAGTGAGACGCATAGAGTTAGCT